TCCAGTTGCCTGGGGAAACCCTAGCCTCCCATTTCTGTTTGGATTTGTCTACCTTCTATAATTGAAACTTTGTAGCCTTGAGTTGAGGCTTAGGCTGGCAAGGGCAGGCAAAGCTTGTTTTTTTCCATTGTCCGGGAAACCCAAACCTCCCTCCTGTTCTCTGTGGCCATAGCCATCTTGGTTGGGTTTATTTGCATACTTGCTCTGATTGGCTGGTGGGCGTGGTGGAGTGATGGTTAATTTGTATATTACTCTTTTATTAGGTAGGATGGCCAAACCATTCTCTAATAACAATTTGGGTGCCCTGGGAGTCTTACTAACTCTTTCAGGCCATTGTGGCACTATTGAAAACACAAGAACCTAGAACCTAATTATAGTGCACTAAATACTCTTAGTGCTCTCAAGTGTTAATGAGTCAGGCAAAGTGACCAATTTTCTATCAGGGAGTATAGGAATTTGTTTTCAAATGTTATTTGGACTTTTTTTTTTAAGGTTTTCACAGTGGCTACTTGTTTTAAAAGGTAAAACTTTAAGATTTAAATAATAATGTAGAAATTAAAGAAATATAGCCAGCAACCAGTTTCTTTCTAACTGAAACACATTCTCTGATGCAATTGCTAATGTTTGTTCAGTCATGTCAAAGTTAAAAACTGGAACTATGATTACAGGATATTACAGTTTCCCAAAGTTTGAACATATGTTCCCTGGGAACAAAGAAGTTATTTCATAACAAATAAAACAACCCTAAAACTTCCTAGCAAAATCATACTTTAAATGTGTCTAAATTGATATAGTATACACACGGAAGACATACTGACCATAAATTAAAACAGATTTATTTGTTTAAAAAGAAAAATAGGTGCTGACCATGTAAAAAATAAAAAACAACAAACAAAAAACCCCAGATATTTCTCAAGAACTGGAAATGAGTAACAAGAAATTTTTAAATATCTAAACAAAAATGTATAGAAAATAATTATTGAAATTTTTAAATAAATTTCTGCATTACATACATCATCAGAAAACTAGACTTTAAAAATTTTTTTTTCAGATAGCTACACTTTCCTACATGTTTTGAATAATTCCTCCTGTTGATCTAATAAAAACATCAAGTACAGATGACAAATGTTTAAAATGTTATAAAATCACTCACTCCTTTGCGATAGAAATTTCAATTCTTGCACAGTAATTTAAAGTTACCGTATTAGATATTTTAAAGTTATCTAAGTAGAAGGTGACCACACACACACACACACACACACGACATTCTAATATGTACCAAATAAGATAATCTCCAATGCATTTTCTGGAAAAATTTTTTTACCAGCCAACAATGAAAAAGAAAAACAAAAAAAGAAGGACATGAAAGAATCTAAGAAAGAGTACAACTAGTAAGCCAGGAGGGCAATAAAAAAAATAAAAACCCACAATAATAGCTATGCAGAGGGATCAAGAGAACGGCCTATCCAACACTGCTCATTCAACAAATGGTATTATAAACTACATGAATAATATTCACATAAATCCTATAAGTGCAATTCAGTGCTTTCCAAATTTCAGATTCAGGAGTCAAAACATAAAAAAAAAAAAAAAAAAAAAAAACCACAAAAAACAAAACAAAACAACAACAAAAAACACACACAGTTATGGATAAAGAACAAAACTTCAAACATTATTCATTTTGATGCTGTAGAACTAATAGTGTGACTAGATAGTAAGGGGCAGAGAAGTACAGAAACCTCAACGTCCTAGTTCCATTCTGGGCAGCTTTCAGTTATGGTTTAAAATTAATGAAGCAACAAATGTAGCTCAAAGTGTAATATTTAGATTTAAGATAACAGAAGAAGAAATATGGTAACAAAATTGAGAAATGTATAAAAAGCTCATTTCCTAATCGCCCAAGGCAGCAACTTGAGTCAAGAGGGAAAAGACATGAATTAGGAAATAGAAGTGTAAGTACACTGCTTACAGAAAGGAAGCAAACACTCAAGAGAACTGAAACCACAGTGTGAAGATGTTATGAGCAGTAAACTAAGGGTGGGAAGTGGAAGGAGAACTTCAGTTTTCATCTTATATACCTTTTTTTATTCTTTTGAGTTTTTATTTCCAAGTATTATGATTATTTTATGATTAAAAAATGCCATCCAAATCTTGTGTTTGTGATTTTAGAAAGTAAGGACACATAAGAACAAATTTTCAAAGTTGCTTGACTTAATAATATAGTTGATTAATTTTCAAAGATATATAGTACAGACTGGCACCAAAATTTACAACCTATTAGCTAATATTTATCTAATCAATGAACTCAAATATACGTATTTTCTGTTATAAGAAAACTAGAGGCCTGATGCACAACATTTTTGCAAGTGGCTCAGCCCTTGCAGCCCCTGTTGCCTCCGCCCATCAGTCTTGGATGCCTCGCAGCCCCGCCCACTGGTGGTTTGGGAAGGTCATCCGGAAGGTCGTCCTGCTGTCCAGTCCAATTAGCTCTTTGTTATGTAGGGTCATATGTTGTTGTAAGAGGCATAATCATAAAATTGGTTCCTTTATTTGTTTCTGAGGCTTCTTACCCTGATCAAGGTTCTATTATAAACCTATAACATCATATAAAATAAGCCATGTGCTTATAATACGTAAGCTTCTCATGAATTATAAGACAGATATCTTTGGAAGGTGAATTAATTATGATATGAAAATGTTATTAAACATTGTAACAAATCATAACTGGCTTTCTCCTTAAACTTTAAAAAATTCCTTCACATATTTAGGAAGCTTTCAAGCCCTCTAATTACTGAGCATCACTCAGCTCTCATCCTTTCTAATTCCCCTTTGACAGGTGCTAATGAAAACACAGACAACACAGCAGGCTAAGGAGTGAAGAAAGAAAAATAAAATTAGGGTAATTTTTGTCCGCTAACACTTCCTTTGTTAAGCAGCAGGATAACAAGAATTCTGTTGTCTGAAATAGTTGAGAGAACAGCTGTATGATGTTTGAAAGATATGATAAATATAAAACAAAACATGTATTTAAATTAAAAAATAAAAGCTGCTACATAGGATCACTTAGAATTCCAGACTTATGATTTTTTTTTTTTTTAAATTGTACTGCAATTTCTTCAGCCTTTCAATTTGTGCCTACATCTATTTCTTCCTTGGGTCACTTAAGTAAAAGATAAAAGAAAATGCAATAAAGATATGAGGAATATATTATAATAATAGGAAGATAAAAGAAATGTGAAAAAGAAACCACTTACATACAGAACTTATTTTACAAAATCTAGATATATTCGAGTACTTAAAATACCACCCAGTGAAAACAATATACAAATATCCTTGAAGTAAATTATTTCCCTCCCTTCCCATACCTTAGTCATTCTGGAAATAAACACCAGACACTATGTCAGCATAATATATTAGAGGAAAATATGGCAATAATTCTTGCCTTTTAATTTTAGGATTTTAACAACGTATGAAGAATTGTATTTTTCATGATTAAGTTAATACACGTGTTGACTTTTATTAGAATAAAAAAGAGTCTTATCCTTTCAAAACAATAATTTGTTTTACTTATTTCAGTTTTCATCTCAAACTAAGTAAGCTTCAGCATTTCTGCTTGTCTTTTTGTACAAGAATACACAAAAAGAATTTAAATGATGACTAAATGCAGTCATCTGCACTCTGGGTACAAACAGGAGTAAAGTGAAAGAGACCTCAAATCTTTCATTCTAGGCCTCAGGGCACTCAAGAAGTAAGGTGCTTAGCCTAATGTAATCTGATTTCAATACCACTAGTTAGAAATACTACAAACGACTACAGTCATGTATGAATTGATTTGTATAGTACTATTGATGGACAATGGACTTCATAATCAAGCAGAAATAAGTTCAAATCATGGTTTTCCTATTTACTAGATGTACAACTTGGACAAGTTATTTAAATCCTTTTAGCACCAAAGGGTAAAGGGCATCAAATATATGGTGACAGAAGATCTGACTTTAGGTGGTGGGCATACAATGCAATTTGCAGATATGTATTATAGAACTGTACACTTGAAACCTATATGATCTTACTAACCAATGTTACCCTGATAAATTTAATCTAACAAAAATGGAATGATAATATGTACTAAAACAGGCACCAATGCTTTGGAACATGCTAGGGATTTTAAAATATTAAATCATCCAGTCAGTGTTGCTCAATGGTTAGTGTCAACCTATGAAACAGAAGGTCATGACCTTCTGTTTGATTCCTGATATGGGACATGCAGGAGGCAGCCAAGTAATGATTCTCTCTCATCACTGATATTTCTCTCTCTCTCTCCCTTCCTCTCTGAAATTAAAAAAAAAAAGGGGGGGGGGGGGGCTAAATGTTAGCCCTTGCCAATTTGGCTCAGTGGATAGAGCGTCATCCTGCGGATCAAAGGATCCCGGGTTTGATTCTGGTTAACAACTTCACAAGTAGGTCCATTTATTTCCACAGATGAGCAAACTGAAATTTGGAAAGGTTGAATGATCTACCCAGTCTGACTCAAAAGAAAGTCAGTTCTTCATCACAGCAAGCAATTTCTGGAACTCAAATTTCTGGGACATCAAAATTTTGTCAGAGAGCAATTATCTTTCCCTTCATTTGTACAGGACAGAACAAAAACCAGGTGTAGAAACAACTGTGTCCTTGATAAACAGTTTTTTTCCATTACTCCAATGAACAAAAGAGAGATTCAAGAAAGAAAGAAGGGAGGAAAGGAAGAGAGTAGGAATGCACTTTCTTAGTGTGAAGTATACCATTTGTCTATCTACATCCTGTTTTATCTCTTGTTCCTCCTAGCAATATGATACCACTCAGACAAAATCAGTCAAATGCTCTTTAAATTCAATGGAGAATAAATAAAATACAAAACATATAAATTTAACTCCCAAATACCTTTCAGTGTGTTTTACATAAGTCCCTTTTAAATTCTAAGAATTCCTGGTTTATTTCTGTTTCTGCAGTTATAAACTTACCATGAAACTTAGAGGCATCTGGATCATTCACATTGATAGCAATTAATTTCCAATCTGTTTCACCCTGATCAATAAGAGCCAAAATCCCAAGGATCTTCACACAAATAACCTCTCCATGAGGAAGAACCTTTAAAGAGAAAAGAAACCGAGCATTTATAAAGCTTTAGAGAAGTTTACTCATATCTCATAAAAAATCCATGAAAGATGAAAAGCACCATAAACTGAAATTTAATAAAGGTTTAATAATTTAAAAAATGTAAAAACAGTCATAAAACCTTTAATGAAATGCCTATTAAAATTAAGTATCTGGATCCCTTTTTAGAAATTGGAGTTATTTATAGATCTTGAAATTTAATGTACTAAGCCTAGAAACTCACACTAAGCAGAAATAAACCCATGTATATCATTACAAACTATAATCCTGGCTTCTGTTGCTTGAGGGTAAAAAGAGACCCTAGAATCCTTTTAAATTGCTTCACAATACCTTTTTTACAAAGCACATTTTTTCAGTTACTACTGAAAAGTAAATTTTTAACATGTTAGACTATATAACCTTAAGAAGATAATGGATGACAATGAAAGAACTAATAGTACTTTAAAGATACAAACAAAAAAGTCTTAGTAAAATGTTTTTAAAAGGTTTAAAGAGAAACCAAGAAATAGCATGATGTTTAAGCAAATGTTTCATGTGCTAAAAACAATTTATTTCAGTGGTTCCGTCAAACTGTCTATGCCACATTTATATACAATCATTCTTCCTATTTCCTTTTCTTCTTAAAGGTTTAATCAGCCACAGAATTTCACTGCAAGCTGAAATATGAACACATGTTTCAGAATTCCTTCATGATTCAAAATGCGGCTTTACATTTGGAAAGCAAGATATGCAAAAGAAGGTCACTTTTGGGTCCTGAAATTATTTGAGAGAAAAACACTAGACCTTAAACCATAAAGTCAAATAAATCCTTTTAGAATATTTGCAAAATAAAACTAAAATCTTAATATAACTCTGTATGAAGTTGTAATTAGTTTACACAACAGATTAGTGAGATTGCATAAACTAAACTTAGATTTCATTTTGGGGAGAATATACACAAATATATTAACCAGACGCTTACATGTTTAGACTCTATTCAGTGTCCTGCACCATATCAGATACTACCTATACACACAGAAAGGATCCCTGCTCTCAAAGGTTATGATCTTGTTGGGAGATCTACACACCTCATACCAGGAGATCTATTCAAAACTATCATCCATAATAATGAAAGTGTAATATGCTAATTATGCTAATTAGACAGGACTGGACGGCTGAACAGTGGATGACCTTCTGGACGAAGCTGGGGCTGTGAGGGCCAAGCCCCTTGCACGAATTTTATGCATCAGGCCTCTAGTATCACGTAATCACCAATGAAAAGGCTGGCTACACTGTTTAATGAAGTGACAAACTAGATAACTGGTTCTCAACCACGGGCAATTTTGCCCTCTAGAGGACATCTGGCAATGTCTGGAGATGTTTTTGGCTATAAAATGGGGAAATATTACTAGCACCTAGTGGGAAGAGGCCAGGGATGCTGCAGGACAATCCCCTGAAATAGAATTATCCACTCAAAATGTCAACATTAAACTAGAATATAAATTCACTTGACCATTTATAATCAATACTAAATTTCCACAAAAAATAACGAGTCAATGTTTTTCAGTAATGATGTATCAAACACCCATATATATTAAGCTTTCTATGTAAACTGTAAAAGTATGCTTTCAAGATTAGTTAAATATGCCTTATTAAAAACTACTTATGTATATTGGAAACCTTCAATTTTATTCTGCATATTTAGTGACTTTGGCAGGTTTATTAAAAAAACCTCTATATCAAGTTTCCTTAAAGTGATTCCTTTGTTTTGTCAATAACAAATTACTGTTACTAAGTCAAATCATTTTCATATGAGTTCTCTCAGTTACTAATCTCAATAATCGCATGCTCATTTACACATTTTTACATAAAATTTAAAAAATTTAAGTGAAAATAAGATACTTCTACTTCATCTTTAAACATCCACTTAATATCTGCATAATAATTTAAATTAACATAATAATTTGCACTTGCTAAGAACTGAATGGCCCCAGGGATTATGCCCTCAGAATAAGAGTTTTATAATACATAAAATGTTCCATCAGTGTAATGTTATTTAATTTAGTAACTTTCACTTATCAGGAAATAGGATATGTGAAAGTGACTAAAGTACGTAGCATAGGGTCTGAAGCATAGGAAGTACTCATTAAAATATTTACCTTCTTCCTTCCTTCAAATCTATTCATTTTAGACACACTTTATACCCCTCTGGTGAGAAAATGTTTGAAAGATAAATTCCTAAACTATAGCCTACACGTTAAAGAAAGCTAACTACCTGCTGTATTTCTGCTGGAGAGACACAGAAACTAGTCCCAGACACACAGACACACACATACAGAGGAGCTACAGCCTCTTGTCCTTATCTGTGTATAAAACCAGAGCAGATGAAAATCTCTCCTGCAAGGAAGGAGTAAGACAGAGAGAATAAAAAGAAGGGGGGCAGAGAGGATGTGGAGAAGAGGAGGGAAAAAAATGGAAGAACAGAGTGAGAAGAAGCAAAAGAAGAAAGAGAAAGAAGAAAACGAAAACGAGAGAACAAAATAATCTACACTAATAAAAGAGAAATATGCAAAATGACCATTCCTCCATGACACTCATCAGCCAATCAGGAGGGGATATGCAAACTAGAAGGACAAAGATGATGGCAGCCCTGCTGCCCAGGTGTGAAGTGCCAGGTGGGGCAGGATGCCTGCTATGAAAGAGAGAGGGTGGGGAGTGAAGTGATCTATAGAAGCAGCACTCTGGCCACAGGGAAGAAGACGGCAGAATCCGGCCTCAGTCTGAAGTGGCTATGAAGACAGCAGACTCCGGCCAGAGTCAGCAGCAAAGTTGGCAAACTCTGGCAGGAGGGAAGGTGGAAGGTGGCGGGCAGAGTGAAGGCCTGGGTCCAGGGTACCAGAAAAGAAACGGTAACTGAAGCCAGGGGAAGGAAGGCCTATTGCACGAATCTTCATGCAACAGGCCTCTAGTTATGGTAAATAAAATTGAAAAAAAAAAAAAATCAAAGGAAACTGTTTCCTGAACAATAATCTAGAAGCCTAAAATTGCCAATAGGCGTTACCAGAGAACTAATTTAATCTTAACTAGAATAAGACTCAAGTAATAGTTCAGGGTGGTATTTCTTAACTTAGGCATATGCTACCTGCCAGGCACTGAGCTATACACTCAATGCTGAGTCCCATCCTCACAGAGCTAACTCTCACCTCACAGAGGAGGCAATTAAACAAACAGACCACAGTTAGTACTAAGGGAGTACATAACAAAGACCAAGTATCTTAGTTGGTTGGTAGAAGGCAATAAAGAAAGGCTTCTAAGAGAAAGGGCTATTTTAGCTGAGATCTGAAGGATGAGTAGGGAGGAGAAAAAAAAGAAAAAGAAAAAGGGGGGCCGGGACCGGTTTGGCTCAATGGATAGAGCGTCGGCTTGGGGACTGAAGGGCCCCGGGTTCGATTCTGGTCAAAGGCATGTAACTTGGTTGTGGGCATATCCCCAGTAGGGGGTGTGCAAGAGGCAGCTGATCAATGACTCTCTCTCATTGATGTTTCTAACTCTCTATCTCTCTCCCTTCCTCTCTGTACAAAAAGCAATAAAATATATTTAAAAAAAAAAAAAGAAAAGAAAAAGGGGGGAAGTCACAAAGTGAAGAGAGGAGGTTCCATTTTACAGAGGAAATAGCTTGTGCGAAGGCCTGGCCGTCAGGGAAAGCAGATGCACTACAGGAAGTGAAAGATGGGTGCAGCTAGAGGGTGGCCTGCAAACGGGGAGTGTCAGGAGAGGAAACCAGGTGCTAACAAGAGCAAAGCAGGAGGTGTCTGGAATAAATGATGGTAGGAAAAGAAGGCTCAGAGAGGAAACTGGTCAATAGCAGGAATAATTATGTGAGGAAAAATAGCGGACTTGACAAAGCTTGCTGCAGTGAGAATAAAAAGAAGTAGTTTAAAGGCTATTTGGAATACAGAATCTATATTTCATGATTAACAGATAAAGAAAAGCACAGAATGATCAAGATGACTCCTCAATTTTGGGGACTGAAAATACTGAGGAGTTATAGGAGAGGAGGGAAGAATGAACTGTATTGGACAGGGTGAGTTTGAGATGTATGAGAGACATCCAAGGGCAGAAGCAGGCAGCTGACTATACAGGTCTGAGCTGGAGATACTAATTTGAGAGCAAAATTAGGAGTGCTTGGGATGGGATTGCCAAGGGAGTTCTTCTCTTCATTGGGACAGTGGCACAATCTTCAAGCTAACCAATCCTAAGGAATAGGCAGAAGAAAAGGAGCTTACAAAAGAAACCCAAAGTAACCAGAATTAGAGACTATCCAAGCGATTATGACACAATCAAAGTAAAGTGAAGAGACTGTCTCAGGAAGAAAGACAAGGTTAACAGTAACAAGTTAGACACGTGGACAAAAAAGGGGTCACATGTTAAAACTGACAAGCTCAGGGGAGGCCCGCATGACAGACCCGACAAACTTAGAGACCTAAAGTAACCCTACAGGATGGTCTGAAATAAGAGCTTCCTAAGAAAAATCAAGTCTTGTTGCGTAGTCTTTTGTCCTGGGCTGCTATTATCCTTAATAAAGGTCAATCTTTACCTTAACTGAGCTGGTCTATTGTCTTTTTGCATCTGCCATAGCAAACCTTTGGAATGTCAGTCATTTCTTTTTTCCAGACCCTTCAGGGCACAAGCACAGAATCAGGGCAGAGACCACAGAGCTTCTCATTGCTATTATCATGTTAATTGCTGACTACTAACTATCCCATACCCACCAATATAAAAGGAGTGTGTGTCTAACCCTTTTACTTTTTTTTTTTTTTTTAAATATATTTTATTGATTTTTTTACAGAGAGGAAGGGAGATAGATAGAGAACTAGAAACGTCGATGAGAGAGAAACATCGACCAGCTGCCTCTTGCACACCCCCTACTGGGGATGTGCCCGCAACCAAGATACATGCCCTTGACCTGAATCGAACCTGGGACCCTTCAGTCCGCAGACCAACGCTCTACCGCTGAGCCAAACCGGCTTCGGCCCCTTTTACTTTTTATCCAATCCCGGAGACCCACCCCGCCCCCTAGCTTTGCTTTCTCCTGCCTCCCCAATCTATCTACCATCAATGAATTTCATGTAACTCCTTCACATCTCTTTTTGATTGTAATGTATAAAACAGGTTTAAAACTGCCATTCTCTGGAGCATTTTCTCAATCCATTGTCATCAGTTTGGCTCAAATAAACTCAAAATTCGTATAAGTTTGGACATTTCTTATGTCAACATGAAATAGGCCTCTTGGATTTGGCTAAAAAAAATTACCAGGGACCTTAGTGAGAGCAGTTTCATTGAAATAATGGCAGGATGAAAACAATTCTGATATAGGTTGAAGATTAAGTGGGAAACTCTTTATAAGCCTTCATGCGAAGGGAAGGAAGACAGGAGACATATTGAAGGAAGACAACAAAGAAAGATAAGTTATAAATACAGGACAAAATAGAAAAATACTGTCACTCAGAGGCAAGAAGGAAAGCACTGGTCTTGGACAAGAAAAGGTAACTCTCCCAGGCTCAGATGAAAGGGAGAAATGTGTGCAGGCACTGGTAGTTTGACAGTCTAAGGCACATGTGTCAAACACAAGGCCCGCGGGCCAAATCCGTCCCGCCAGGCCTTGCAATGTGGCCCGCACCGCGCTGTCATCACTGCACTCCGCTGGGTTTCCATCACAATGACAGTTTATGACTGTTCAGTAAACCATTCAGCCCGCGATTTAGGCTGGATTTTAGGTTTTGGCCCCTTCTCTGATTGAGTTCGACACCCCTAGTCTAAGGGGAAAAGGTGAGGGAATTCATCTGTTGGTTTCTCTGAACTCGACAATATTAAAGACAAGACATTGTGCTGGGAATGAGAACAAAGTTCAAGGAGCTGAATGTCTACAGTAAATAATAATTATTAGCAACTAGAGGTCCGGTGCACAAAATTCGTGCATGGGTGTGTCCCTCAGCCCAGTTTGCACCCTCTCCAATCTGAGACCCCTCGAAGGATATCCGACTGCCAGCTTAGGTCCGATCCCTAATTTAGGATTGGGCCTAAACAGGCAGTCAGACATCCCTCTCACAATCCAGCACTGCTGGCTCCCAACTGCTCACCTGCCTGCCTTACTGATTGCCCCTAACCACTTCTGCCTGCCAGCCTGATCACCCCCTAACCACTCCCATGCCATCCTGATTGATGCTTAACTGCTCCCCTGCCAGTTAACTGTTTGCCCCTAACTGCCCTCCCCTGTAGGCCTGGTCACCCCTGACTGCCCTCCCCTGTAGGTCTGGTCCCCTCTAACTGCTCTCCCCTGCAGGACTGGGTCCCCCACAACTGCCCTTCCCTGCAGGCCCATTCGCCCCCAACTTCCCTCCTCTGCTGGCCTGGTCATCCCTAACTGCCCTCCCCTGCAGGCTTGATTGCCCCCAACTACCTTCCCTTGCCTGCCTGGTCCCTCCCAACTGCCCTCTCCTGCTGGCCAACTTGTGGCATCCATCTTTGTCCATATGGGGAAGCCATCTTTGACCACATGGGGGCAGCAATCTTGTGTGTTGGAGAGATGGTCAATTTGCATAGTAATATTATGATAGGATAACTGCAGTAGAAAATAGAAAAAAGATTTCACCAAGGACTCCCAGAATTCTGTGGATAGCAGCAACCTTGATATTGTAGGACTCGGCAACCTGGAAGCAGGCACAAAAAGAGTGCCCGTGGCTTTCATTGGTTTTGAATTTCTTGTCTGGATAATGAGCAAGGAAGCTGAAGACAGGATCTGGCAAAATGTTTCTGTAAAAGCTCAGACAGTAAATACTTTAGATTTCGCAGGTGATGTGGTCTCTGCTACCATTCCTCAGACAATGTGTAAATGAAGGGGTGTAGCTGTGTAATTTATAAAAACAGGTGGTGAGCTAGATTTGACCCGCCACTGGGCTATCGTTTACCAATCCCCGTTAAGAGCAGGAAGTAAAGACACAAAAAGGTACTGATCTCAGAGAAATTGATGGGCTAGAACTTTAAAGAACTGAAGAACTGGTGGCTTCCACAGAGAACTGAAATTTTATGGCATGAATAAACTATTCCAACAGTCTATACCACGAACCTTTGAGCCAATTTCACAAACATCAATAGGATCATTATCTCCATAGCTGTCTGTGAGCTTATCCTTTCTGTGGGGATCTTCCCAAGTCTAAAAGAAAGGGGGGAGGGGAGAGAAGCAGAAATATAGGTTAATAATCACTATAATGTATTTTAACTTTTCCACACAGTCGTGATGTTTTATATTTTATAGACAGCCACAGTCCAAAGAAAAAATTCTCAGAAATTACACAGGCTCGATGCCAACATGCCAGTACATCCTCAAGCACAATAATACTTAAAGCCTATTTATAGTATTTCCTCCCCTCCGTCTTTCATTTGTTTGTATAATCACATCTGAAAGTGGGTGGTATTTCCAAACATAATCTTCCTCCAAGTTTTGTCAGTGTCTAAATCCATGTTCACGTTTTGAGTTTCAACTCGAATGTTCCCACTGTCTGCCCGAACCGCTGCTTCCATTGCTCACTGCTCCTCTGACAAGGAACCAGCACTGGGCCTGCCTTTCTGTGTTTGAAAACAATCTATGAATATTAGCCAATACGTTTGTAATCACCGTGTTCTGATCCTTAGGTCTCTTTAAAACATCACTGCCCTGTACCAAGCTGGATATGTAGCTGCTTCTTGAAAACTCCTTCCTGATTAAGCAGGATTCTTGTCAACAAGTCCAAAGCAGTAGGAGCCCCTCAGTTACTACCTGTTCTTTACAAGCTTAAATTTGGAGCAAGAGCCTTTACCAGCTATTGGCAGCTAACAGCAGTAGCCAACAGTGTCATCATCGAGACAATGTGACTGAGAACTCACTATGGGGCTAAGCACTTGGCTTTGACCATCTCATTCAAAATTTGCAATCACCTTGTGAGTAGGTGGTAGGATGACAGAGGTGAACAAACAGACCTGGAGCGATGTAGTCACTAGTCCCATGTTACAAAGCTACTAAGTGGTACTAAATGATACTTGGGGACAAGGAACCAAATTTATAATAAAGGCCAAAATAATAAACACAACAATCATCTATTAAGACCAAAGAAATCTTGAATTTAGTGATTCTAGTCCTTGAACATCATCCACATGGTTCCTCTAAGTATATACTCAGAAAAATCGGGGGAAGACAAAAATGACTTTTGTCCAGGCCAAACTCAGGTCTGAGGAAGGCACTACCGCTAGTGTGGGAGAAGGTACTAAGGTGAAACAGTCTAGACATCTGAAGGTCAGAAATAATGATGGCACTCTGATGAATCACAAGCTAAGTGGAGAGACTGCTACCTACACAGTGTTCTGCTTAAACGTTCTTGCAAGCACGGTTGGCTTGGTAACTGCTTGAACAAAATCGTGCTGTTACAAGACAAAACCTAAGAGCAAAAACCCACACACATCTACAAAACAAATGCAACTCACACAAGGCATTTATTAATTTGTTAATCCCACAAATATTTATTGAGTGCCTACTCTGCTCTAAGCACTAAGCTGGGCAGTTGGGAGACATCAGTGAACAAAACAGATAGAATCCTTTATTAAGTCTGCATTCTAGCTGGAAGAATTAACAAAAAACAGATAACTAAATTACATAGCATATTAGATGTTGTGGAAAAGGGAAAGAAATAAAGCAGGGAAGATGGAATGAGAGTACAGGAGGCAGAGTTAAAACAGTAAAGGATGCACAGGGCAGACATCAGGAAGAAGATGACTCCTGAGCAATCATGTAAGAGGGAGGTCATGTGCACATTTGGGAAAGAGTGAATGTGCAGGCCTGAGGCAGGAGCATGCCAGAGGTACCAGAGGATTGTGAGATGGTCACTGTGGCAGTGATGGAGCAGGAGGAGAAGGATGAGGGGAAGCTGGAAATGAGACCAAAAATGCAAATGGAGCTCTGGCTAGTGTGATTTAGTTGACTGAACATTATCCCATGCACTGAAAGGTTACCAGTTTGATTACCAATCAGGGCACATTGCGGGATGCAGGTTCAATTCCCAGTAAGGGTACATACAGGAGGCAACCAACCAATGTTTCTCTCACATTGCTGTTTCTCTCTCTCTCTAATATCAATAAACACATACTTTAAAAAAAATGTAAATGGGACCAGGGGCTGGCTTCCATATTAACAGGCTCATTCTGTCTTAGTATGTACAAGGAAGCTATTTATTCTTTCCCATAAAACAAGTGACCTAATTTCTACTTTTTATAAACATTAATTTATTTTGGGGGGGTTGTTTTTGATAAATAACTTCTATGCAAACTGTAGTATATTCTTTTGCTGAAGACTAATACACACATTCATATACACATATCAGGCCAACAGGCAGAGTGGTTAGGGCAGGCAGGCAGGTAAGTGTTTAGGAGCCAGAGGTCCCGGATTATGAGAGGGATCAGGCCTAAACTGGTAGTTGGACATCCCCCGAAGGCTCCTGCATTGGGAAGGGTACAAGTAGGGCTGAGGGACCCCCTTCCCCCTTCTGCATGATTTTCAGGCACCAGGCCTCTAGTATAATAATAAAAGTAACAGTAGTAATAATGTGATTACTACCCATTAGACACTATTCTAAGATAAATCTGCAATAACTCATTAAACCTCAACACAACCATTTGCAGTAGGTACTTTATCATCTCTAATTTATAGATGAAGAAAAAGACATTACTTTCTTTGCCCAAGGTTACATTACTAATAAATGGCAATCTGATCCCAAAACCCTATTCTTTGGTAACTTATTATGCAGAAGTATCCCCTAAGGCTTAACAATTTTTTAAATTATTTTTTAAAATCTTCTCACCAGGTCAAACAAAATGTCTATTTAGGCACCTGGTATGCACAAAAGTTATCTTTATAGTTTCAACAGACATTCTCACTCTGAGCAGGTCATTTTAAAAGTGCCTATTTAACAAAGAACCTTTCCACGTGGGTGGTCTAACTGCATCAAAGGCAGCCTGACTCTTTAGAAAACAATTTTCTTTTTTCTTTTCCTGTGAATGTTTATTCTACATGGACAGCTGTGTTTCTGAGTTGGACAGAGTAAGACCCCTTTCCTCAGAAACTTCCCCAAAAGCATTTTAGAACTTCATGCAAAATGTTAAAATTAATTTAAAAAATGAAAATACAAAATGAACACCCAGATACATGAATGATCTAATGGCTTTTATAAACATAAAGGCAGATGCCTCTCTCTGTCACCAAAACTCAGCCTTTTGATTCTGCATATTCTGAATTTTACTCACTAAATCACCTACAAAAGTTACCACTTTCCAGAAGTGAGAAACAGAAGAAGAAAATAAAAAAGGATGAGAAAGAAAAAAAAAAGTAGTGCCATTCTCTAACAGGAATGCTGCTTTACCATTTTTTAGCCCTTGCTTTCACTGCTTTCCACTGAACAGTTATAAATTCATAATAATGAATAATTAAGTCATCTAACTCAATTCACCATGGGTTCTGAAAAAAAGTTAATTACTTAAAAATTCATCTGTTAAAGTTTAAAAAATAAAATTCATGCTACCATGTGAATATATAAAAGCACTGTTGTCATATTAAAAAAAATGACAGATAAAGCAGAAAAAATATTTTTCACTGAATCTTAACAGTCAAGCTGAGAAAAAAATGTGTTCAAAATGCCAAATGTGAGTGTTCTATAAGCCTAACTCCAAGAGCTAGAACACAGATATAAAGTTTGAAAAAAATTTATTGATACAATAAGACTCCACATTTAAAATTTTTAAATTTATAAATATCCCAAACTGACATGTCCTCAGAATCAATTTAAATTCAAGTAGCTCACAGGATTTACAAGGCAATTTTTTCAGAAGGCAGAAAAGTTTTACCATTATAACAAAAATGTTACCTGAGGGAGGGCACCGTAATTCCATATATAACCCTTGTGAGGAAAAATGTTCGCCACATAGCGTAGCTTGCCATCCTTTACGTCCTGTTTAATGGGATTCAATGGCTCCTCCGTGGCAATCTAAGCAGATCATGGACAAAAGGGGGTAGGAGGATGAGAAATTATTAATCCTATCTTTAAATAATATTTTCAAGACCTAATATAGTAAGACTAACTACTCATATCACAATTTACTGATCAAAGATACTTTAAAAATAAATTAAGCTAGATCTTATTTCTAATTTAGTAAGAAAAATCATCTGGGAAGGAAATATCAGATTATATACTTAGGCACTCTATTATTTAGGCACTCATTTTTAACACAAATGATTGAAATAGCAAGAGGATAAAAATTAATCAGCTTCCTTTTTGTTACTGATCTCAGGCTTTTTACCATCAATCTTATAATAAAGTTAACTCAAAGATTTTCACCAAGTAATTTCATTTCTGAGTGTCTATGAACAAAATGCATCAGACATATCCAAAATGCCATGCAAAACACACATACACAAACACACACACACTCACAAAACCTATCTTATAAAGTAAACAACAACTGAAGCCATCTTTGAATAAAAAACACTGGTTAAATTAGGTAGACTCTCACAGAGTCTTGATCCTATATCCTATGGTAGAGAGTAGCCAGATGATGAAACAGTATAGTTGAAACAAGATGAACTTTTTCTATTAAAATATTAGCTAAGCCCTGACCAGCATGGTTCAGTGGTTAAAGTGTCAGCTCTTGCGCCTCAGTCAAGGGAACATACCTGGGATCCAGGTTTGATATCCAGCCTCGGACAAGTTTTGTGCATGAGGCAACCAATCAATGTGTTTCTCACATTGGTGTTTTGTTCTTTTGTTCTCTCTCTTTTTCCCTCCCTCCCTCCCTCTCTTCCATTCTCTAAAAACCAATGGGAAAAATATCCTCAGGTGAGGATTGACGACAAAATAAAATACTAGCAAAAAATTTAAAATAAAATACTACCAGTACCTAGTAAAATTACTGACAATTCTCCAAATAGAAATTCTGAAAATTATACATGTTGCATAACAATAATTAATTTAAATACTTGAAATCATACCTGCCTTCAAATTCAAAGTACCATAAATTAAATTTCACTCAGAATTATAAGGATTATCTAACTGAAGATGAAGTAACAAAATTCTGAAAAGCAAGAGGTAAGATCTTGATAGGTTCATGTCTCATGGGAAGATTTTTTTTTTTTTTAAAGCTACCTAGGGGAACAGCAGATGCTCGTAGAGGGTGCTCATAAGTTAAGAGTTGGCCAGGGAAAATGCCTTCATTCCTGGTAGAACAAAATCTAAAGACTTAAGTCTTTAGAAACTGAAATTGCCATAAGCCCCAAACAGATAAGTTTCAGTGGTGTCTATGAACAAAATGCATCCCAGAATCTATTTGAGTAAACGTTAAAAATATTTGTCATTTTCAAAGACAGAGAAGAGTCAAGGAAAATTAAATCCTATATAATAAAAAGGTAATATGCAAATTTACTGTCACTCAACACACAAAATGGCTGCCCCCATGGGGTCAAAGATGGCCACACCCCTATGTTGACAAAAGATGGCCTTCACCAGATGGCCGGCATGGGAGGGCAGTTGTGGGCGGCCAGGTCAGCAGGGAAGAGCAATTTAGGGGGACCAGGCTTACAGGAAAGGGAAGTTGGGGGGGGGGGGGGGAAACCAGACTGGCAAGGGGGGGGAGTAAGGGGTGACCAGGCCTGCAGGGAAGGGCAGTTATGGGCAAACAGGCTGGCAGGGGAGCAGTTAGGCATCAATCAGGCGGGCAGGGGAGTGGTTAGGGGGTGATCAGGCTGGCAGGCAGAAGTGGTTAGGGGCAATCAGGAAGGCAGGCAATTAAGCAGTTCAGAGCGAGCAGTCCTGGATTGTAAGAGGGATCCCAGATTGGAGAGGGTGCAGACTGGGCTGAGGGACACCCCCCATGCACAAATTTCATGTACTGGGCCTCTGGTCCTATCTAATACAAGAGTAATATGCAAATTGACCATATCTCTGCTACGCCCACAAGCCAATCAGGAGCAAAGATGCAAATAAGCCCAACCAAAATGGCTGCAGCCATGGAGAGCCGGAGGGAGGCTTGGGTTTCCCCATCAAACTTTCCACCTGCCCTTGCTGGTCCAGGCCTCCACTCAATGCTACAAAGTTACAATGATAGAAGATAAATAAATTCCAACAAAAATGACCACAGCCACAGAGCTGGAGAGAGCAGGAGGCTTGAGTTGCTCCTGGAGAGGGAGAAAGCCAAGCTTTCCACCTGCCTTGGCCAGCCCAGGCCTCTGCTTTAGGCTACAAAGTTTCAATTATAGAAGATAAATAAATCCCAACAGAAACAGTTACCACCACGGAGTGAGTAGAAGGCTTGTCTCTGCTCCAGGGTACAAAGTTTCAATTGTAGAAGATAAATAAATTCCAGATACCAGGGCCTCAGCTGGGGTTGCCAGGGGGCATGGCTGGCCTGCAAACCACCACAGACCCTTCACCCAGGCCACCCCACCCCCTAAGGGAACCTCCACCCTGATCCGGGACACCCTTCAGGGCAAACCTGCTGGCCCCCACCCATGCACCAGGCCTCTATCCTATCTAATAAAAGAGTGATCTGCACATGGACCATCACTCCAACACACAAAATGGCTGCCCCCATGTGGTCAAAGATCTTGCCCCTATGTGGATACAAGATGGCCACCATAAGATGGCCAGCAGGAGAGGGCAGTTGGGAGGCCTGGGAGGGACCAGGCCTGCAAGGGAGGGCAGTTATGTGCAATCAGGCCAGCAGGGGAGGGCAGTTAGGGGTGACCAGGTCATCAGGGGAGGACAGTTAGAGGTGACCAGACTTGCAGGGGAGGGCAGGTAGGGGCAAACAGGCTGGCAGGGGAGTAGTTAGGCATCAATCAGGCTGGTAGGGGAGTGTTAGGGCTGGCAGGCAGGCAGGCAGAAGCAGCTAGGGGCAATCAGGAAGGCAGGCAGGCAAGCAGTTAGGAGCCAGCAATCCTGGACTGTAAGAGGGATGTCTGAGTGCTCAGTGGGATTGGGCCTAAATGAGCAGTTGAACATCTCTTGAGGAATCCCAGATTGAAGTAGGTGTAGGCTGGGTTGAGATTCAGGTGTGTCCCCCCCCCCCCCCCCGCCCCCGTGCACAAATTTTGTACACCGAGCCTCTAGTATGTATATAACAAACTAGAAAGGCTAAAATGGAAAACATTCTCTTTAAAGTATAGATTTAGCTTTTACTTATAGTTTTCTTTTTTAAAATTAAATTCAAAGTAATTTCACAAGAATGTCTTCAATTATTACAAACAAGTTTGTCAACCATCCTAAATTCAAAACAACTTGAAACAAAGTTTTTGTATCATGATTATCATATTCATTTGATAGTAATAGAATAATCCATACCTCCATTTTAGCATTTGTCCACCGAGGTACTTCAACAACCATGTGAAACACATTCTGCAGTTAAAAAAAAGAGAGAAAATTTAATTTTTTAACCTACCCTTTATTTTTTTCACTTATCTCCCATAGGAGAATGTTTTAGGTTCCTCCCCCCCTCCACTCCCCCCCCCCCCACACACAAAAAAAAATGTTTAGAGTCTGCATCATATGTCTGCCTATGTCTTAAATTTCCTCTAAACAATTAGAGAAGATGTCTAAAACACAGAAGAATTTAAGCCATCATGTCACTTGATTACTATTGCACAATGTTAAGAGTTGCTACATTTCTGCAGATACCTTGGCAGTATAGTGACAGAACCAAAATGAAGTCAGGAATCTTATTTTAATTTCAATTTTCACAAACTAAAATAGAGACAAAGTTCACCATGTAAGCTGAATGTCTCACTTTCCCAATCTGTAAAGTATATGTGATAATCATTGTCCTACTCACCACACAGGCTGGTATGAAGACTAATCATAAATTATATGATTAAATGAAAATACACAGAAAATTATAAAGTTAAATATTTTGAAAATTATAAAATAATATTTAAACCCAAATTATGATCATTGTGTAAAATTAAGGACATCAGTAGGGAGTTATAAAGCTTACAAAGAGAAGCACTTTTCTGTCTCATGATCTCTGGTTTCCTAAACTTACAAAAGCATCATTACTTCTTTTTATCATTTCTGAACTTTGCAGAGTGCTTAAAACAAAGAAGACCCTGGGTTAATGGTGAGTAAAAACTATTTCCTACAGTAACCAGGAATGTATAATTTCCCACAGTTTTAGAGTTACAAAGAGAAAGTCTTAAGGTTCAAGTTGACTTGCATGCCATTTTGATATCAGTAACTAATAACTTATCCTGGCAAAGCAATGGTTTCAAGTGTGGTCATGGATTAGGACTAATCTGCAAGTTGATGGTTATTGGTTCAGTTAGAATCAATTACAGCAATTTGATGGAGTAATTTTTATGTTTGCTGTACCTAAAAATATCAATTTGAAACCTGAATTATACTTTTCTAATAATTCACTTTGATGGCATTTTTTTAAGTATCTATACTAACAATAGAGGAATATGCAAATTGTCCGGGATGCTATCAGAGTAACAGTCATGACCAAACAGCATACTGTGTGGGGCGACCAGGTTGGCAGGGGTTAGTGAGGGCCAACCAAACAATTGAACAACAGACTGTGTGGGGCGACCAGGTTGGCAGGGGTGGGAGGGGTGTTGGGAGTGACCAGGCCGGCAGGGGGGCAATAGGGAGCCACCAGGCCAGCAGGGGATGGGCAGTAAGGGGTGACCAGGCTGATGGGGGGCAGTTAGGGGCTACCAGGCCAGTGGGGGGTGGGAGCAGTTGGGAGTGACCAGGTCAGCAGGGGGGTCAGTTAGGGGCAATCAGGCAGGTAGGCAGGTGAGCAGTTAGGAGCCAGTGGTCCTGGATTGTGAGAGGGATATTCCAGATTGGATAGGGTACAGGCTGGGCTGAGGGCTCCCCCAACCCAGTGCACAAATTTCGTGTACCAGGCCTCTAGTCCTATATAATAAAAGGGTAACATGCAAATTGACCCTACATGTACTGATCACCAGGGGGCAGACGCTTAACACAGTGGGCTGATGGCTCCGAGCCCAGCGGCAATGGCAGGAGCCTCTTCCGCCTCTGCAGCAGTGCTAAGGATGTCTGACTGACAGCTTAGGCCCGCTCCCCAGGAGCGGGGACATCCCCCGAGGGGTCCTGGACTGCAGGAAAGCGCAGACCGGGTTGAGGGACCCCCTCCCCCTTGAGTGCACAAATTTTCGTGTACTGGGCCTCTAGTCAGTTCATAACAGACCAGAAATAACAACAACAAAATCTAGTCATTCAACAGATCATTTGAGAAGCAATGATTAAACAGACCTATTCCCAATCATGCCACACAGGAAAATCATCTGAAGAACATAAACCAATTAGAAAAGAGCCCCACCTCCCAATTATCTTTTTTTTCTTTTTTTTTTTTTTTTGAGGAGGCAGGGGGAACAGCCAGGGCACTGCCTATTTTCAAAAGCTGTCCAAGCAATTTTAATATGCAGCAGAGTTGAGAACCTCTAGTTTAAAGCACTGATAAAACAGGTATAAATTGAGCCACAAAGTCCTGATGGCTTTTATGTTTTTCTAGATAAGGCTAAAGTTTACAGATGACAAAGCCCCATACTCTTAATGAGCTAAAGAACAAAGCCGAGAATGAATTCTCAACAACTGCTCCTTGAGAGCATGTCTCAGACCTATCCTAGCAACCTGGTACACAGTCCCACTGTTAGGTTTCATTTCCCATGCTCTTTCATGAGGTACCCCAGCACCTGTTTAAATATGTCTGAAGTAGCTGTAAAAAATAAATGGCAGATGTTCACATAATTTATTCATCCCTGAAAGCCTGGCTCTAAGAGAACAGACGCATGCAAATGCATACTCAGAGGTGGCAGAGAAGACCGAGCTAGTGACAATTGTTTCACACAATGCTATCTACCAAAACCACTCTCAGAGACTTGAATTAGGCTAAAACAACAATAGATGAGGTTTGAATTTTCAGCCTGCAAACCGCACTCCCTTCACCATTTGTTCCTGATCACTAAGAGCATATTACCAGTCCTCTTTTTTTCTCTTCAGTTAAAATGTGTATGACCTGTCATTTTTTAAAGCCCATGTTACTCTGGTTATCCTAACATTAGTATTAATTAAAAAACAATAATGGTCTGCTGAAATTTATCAACCACAACGATACAGGAGGGCACGTTTTAAGTCAGAAAGTTGAGAACAAACCAGGGACATTTACCTTCCCCTCAGTTCTTTTCTATCTCTCCATTTCCCTCCTATATTTATTGTAGAAATCAGAATGAAAAATAGTAACGTGAAAAAGCAGTCAGTAAATTTTATATGCATAAGGGAAGAAACCATGCTTTCTCCTTTTACTAATTTAATATATCAAATAGTCCTTGGATTTCACAGTAAAAACAAAGGCAACAAAAGCAAAAATAAACAATGAGATTACATCAAACTAGAAAACTTATGCATAGATGCCTTGGCTGGGTGGTTCAGTTGGTTGGAACATCATCCCTTACACCAAAAAGGTTGTGGGTTTGATACCCAGTTGGGGAATATACCTAGATTGCAAGTTCGGGATGTGTGTGGGAGGCAACTGATCAATGTCTTCTCTTCCTCTCTCCCCTTCTCTCCCTCTCTCCCTTTCTCCATCTCGGTGTATATAGGAGGCAACTGATCAATGTTTCTCTTTTTCTCTCCATTCCTCTCTTTCTAAAAGCTATAAAAACATAATCTTGAGTGTGAAGATTAAAACAAATAAACAAACAAAAATTTCTGCATAGCAAAGGAACATTAACAAAATAAAAAAATAACCTAGGGAATGAGCAAAGATATTTGCAAATCATAAATCATAAGGGGTTAATAACCAAAATATATAAACTCACACAACTCAATAGAAAAAAAAAAAAAAAAAGCAAAAAATCCTGATTAAAAATTGCAAGGACTGAACAATAGACAGTTTTCTAAAGTAGATATACAGATGGCCAACAGGTACATGAAAAGGTGCTCTATATCACTAGTCATCTGGGAAATGCAAATCAAAACCATACTGAGATATCACTTTGCTCCTGTTAAAATCTATATATAAAAAAGGCTAATATGCAAAGTGTCCACTGGGGAGTTCGACCTGGAGACTGGGAGTTTGATCGCTCACTATGACATGTGCTAACCACCAGGGGGCGGCATGGAATGAAGGAAGACCCCAGGCGGCAGCTGCGGAAGGGAAGCCCTGGCCTGCAGCTGAAAGGCCCCAATCAGCCCTGATGGCTGGCCAGGTCTACGGACCCTACCTTTGCACAAATTTCGTGCACCAGACCTCTAATGGCTATTACAAAAAGGACAAGAAATAACAGGTACTGGTGAGGATGTTGAAAGAACTCTTATGCACTATTAATGGGAACGTAAATTGGTATAGCTGCTATGGAAACCAGTATGGAGGTGCCTCAAGAAATTAACAGAATTACATTATCCAGCAATTTCACCTCTGAAGATACACACACACACACACACACACACACACACTCACACAAAGGGAGGACGGGGAAAACACACACAAAAGAACAGGATATTAAAGAGCTATCTGCATTTCCATGCTCACTGCAGCATTATTCACAACAGGCAAGATATAAAATAATGTTAAGGGTCCACCAATGGATGAATGGATAAAGAAGATATGGTACATATGCACAATGGAATACTACTCCCCCAGAGAAGGGAATCCTGCCATTTACAATAACATGGATGGACCTTTAGGGCATTATGCTTTCTGAATAAGCCAGAGAAAGGCAAATTCTGCATGGCATCACTTACATGCAGAATATTCAAAGGGTCAAGCTCATGGAAACAGAGCATAGAAAAGTGGTTGCCAGGGGTGGTGGATGAGGAAAATGGAAGATAATTTTTAAAAATAAAAAAAATCAAGTCATGCAATCTCTGATATAAACCATGTTCTAAAAATGAAATTTTAAGTCAGCTGTATGAACTCAGAAGAATTCATTTTTTCCACTGAATCAACTGTTTCTAGGTTAACATACAAAGTCTCTAGGAACCTATAAAATCTGAGGCCCTGAATGACTTTTTACCCAACATATAGGGCAGTGGTTCTCAAAGTTCAGGTGTACAGGAGGATACCCTGGCACTAGGTTCAACAGGCAGAGATTCTGATGTAGTGTGCATGGAATGGGATCTGGAATCTAAAATTTTAAGAAGTGCCCTACATGGTTCCATTGTAGATGGCTTAAGGACCATTTTCCAGGTTAGGCATAGGTGGTAGGAATTAACCCTCAAAGCAATGTTTGGAAGCAGATTAGGGTCCTAAGTTTCATTTAGAGAAGAGAATGGATGGAAATATGTTAGGAAGGAAAAGGAAAGCTAAGAAGGTAATAGAAAAGCCATCTGGTATCAGCAAGATAAAAAGAGATTGATCAATAGCAAGAGATGGGATGACAGACATCTGTTCCTAAGTAAGGAAATTTTAGCATGTCAGTAGGTTAAACTATCTTTTTCTTTATCTCCAAAAGACTTGTTCCTGGATTCTAAAATAGCTGTTGAAACAAATTATCCCTTGCAATAAAAAGATGATGACTGAATACATGTAAAAGAGTGTGCAATAAATAAAATGGTAAATTTTGTTATGTATATTTTACCACAAGAAAAAAACAGTGAAATGGTAATAGCATCACTAGTATCTTAAAGTGATACCAGAGAAGAAAAACATCAGACTGCACACGAAAGTCTTGCAGGGGAAAATTCAGAAGCACTTTACAAATGGCAAACTGTCATCAAGGTCTTTAACAGATGTAGGTGATTCACAGAAACAGAAACCTTTAGGTACACCTCGGAAAAGTCATTCCGCGCTCTCTTTGTAGGAATGCCATTTTCCTATAAAAGGAAAGATGGTATTTATGATGGTAACATGTCATGAAAATACAGCTGCACCGCAAAGCCATGAAAATATGCCTGTTGCATAAGCATTTCACTAGATGGTGTGCAGAAACCTGAGGAAATGGAGAACCCACCAAAGGCTTGTTCGTTTTCCTCTTAGTATTTGCACCCCCAAGTGCATGAGGCATCAAACTGTTTCATAAAGTGAATCATCAGAAAAGTTTAATTTCTTTCAAGTATATTCTAGATTTTATAAAATAAGCAAAGGCTCCATTCAGTCTTTTTTTTTTTTAAATATATTTTATTGATTTTGTACAGAGAAGAAGGGAGAGAGATAGAGTTAGAAATATCTTTTAGAGAGAGTCATCGATTAGCTGCCTCTTACACACCCCCTACTGGGGATATGCCCGAAACCAAGGTACACGCCCTTGACCAGAATCGAACCCGGGACCTTTCAGTCCCCAAGCCGACACTCTATCCATTGAGCCAAACTGGCCTTGACCCATTAGTCTTTAAGGAAAGACTAGCAGTTTCCAGTGATTGCACTTAAAACAGTCATTTCATTATTGAGATGAAACTCCAGGGAACACGACTAACAAGTCATGAAAATACTCGACTGCGCCTCCTGCCTGCAAATCCCACCAAGGTAAGATTACTGTGCCTCCACCATGCACTTTTAAATTAAAACAGAGTATATTCTGGGTTGGGAAGAAAAACTATGCCATTCAGAAATGCTCACACACATTATATTAATATGTAACTTTTACACCAAAATGATAACGAATAAAAGAAACAAAACAGAAAAATGATTATTCCAAGTTTGCTGTGAAACATCATTACTATTCCTAAAAAACCACATCCCAAAGTACAAGATGCAATAGTTCTAACTAATCATTACAGCCGAGGTTGGGGAAAGCATATTCATACAACCACTGTGCGTATCAATCTCCACATGCCCAGAATTCACTAGTGTATCTTGTCACATTTTGCCCTGCCCTATCCTAATTTTCATATCCCCCCCCAAACCATCCTTCCCTAGGCTGAATATTATGCCTGCTAATTTCTAGTCCACTCTTTCTTCCATACCTCTACCCTACCTACCACGTTTCCCAATGTTATTATTTTTGTTAGCTACACAGATGTTGCCATGGTACACAAGCAGCATCCTATCAGTCACTCCTTCTTTCATGACCCTGTTCTAGCTTAACAGCACTTAACGCTATCTGTCTGACATGTCTGCTTTCTGGTTTTCTGTCTTCTCCAACTGAGTAGGAGCTATATGTATCTTATTCACCACTGCATTCCTAGTGCCTGGAATACTGGCTGGCTTAAGCAATGATTACTGAATGATTAAAACAGCTATTTTAAACCTGTGTGCTGCAAGAAATTTTAAAACATAAGAATATTTTAAATAATTGACTATTTAATCAAGAGCACTGACCTCTTTTCCCTTAGATTGTCAACTTTAAAAAAATGACAATAGTCAACACAACAATGGCCATCCGGTGTGAATGCCCTGTGTTGAATCATAAAATATAAATAGGAGATATAATAGAGTTGTATCTTTTTGGTCATGTCACATAATAAGGTTGCATTTGATGGGTTAGTTCTTGGTACCAGAAATCCTTCTATACAAGTATAGGCAGCTGTTTTGTTTGTTTTTAAGTCACTTTGGAGCAAAAAAGAGTAGGAAATCATTATTATTATTTTTGTAAATCAATCAAAATTATACTTTTTTCAGATAAACAAAATATATTTTTGGTGTGCTACAGAATTTTAATGAGTCTATTATGTGCCATAAGATGAAAAAGGTTAGATATCGCTGGATTAAATTAATGAACAAATGAATAAGTGAATGCATACACTTGTGGCCAAAAGCAAGGAGAGGTGATGGGAAATTCAAGATATTTAGGTTGGATAGTTCACTATCCCAAACAGAACAAAACATATGGATGGTCACACACACACACACACACACACACACACACACACCCTTACACTTACAGGGACACACACGGTAAAATGCAGTTCTTTCTGCTCTCTCTTTGGTTTCTTTCTCTCTCCAGATTATATGGCCCTTTGTTCTATAACTGAACACTTGTTAGAAGTAATGAGCTGAAAGGACTGCACAAGACCAGTTAAGAGTAAAAGTTATGGGTTAGAGCACCTAAGTGCAAATCCCACCTCCACCACAGACTAGGTTTCTGACCTTGGGCAAGGCAGTTAACCTCAATAACAACATAAGGGTAATAGTAGCCCTTGCCTATTGAGATAATCAAAGCTAAGCACTGAGCACAATGCTTTGCAAAGCACAATGAGCACCCAATAAATCTTCACTATAATTCTCCTTGTTGCCATCATTATTGACAGTCCAGTCTTCTGAAGGGCTAAAAGGCAGCACAAATCCTACGTCAGCCTTCCATAACCTTAGTATGGTGCCTTATATTTGGCCTCCAAGGTAACACCAAGAAGGCCAAACCACTCTTGCATCAGAAGCAGCTTCCCACTTTAGTGGCCTCTGCCCTACACTGATTTAGAAAGCCCAATCCCATCAACCAGCCCTGTATGACCTCGACCTGGAATGCAGTCCTGGTTATTTACTTAAGAACCATGCCCCTCACTACATTTGGTAATGAAATAAACCAATTAGCTACTAGCATTTTAAGGAAAGAATTTCCAACTCAGTGAGGATAACTAACATTCGCTGCCAAGTATGCCATCTTGCCAGCTAGGCGCACTCTCAGCTCTCAGCACCACCTTCAGCAGCAGGCCTCCCACTCCTATTTGGCTTACATTCTTCCCTGACTCACATCTGTCAAGTAATTTTAGGTTCCAGGAGAAGAGCTATTCAAAGATTACCATCTTCCAACTTTATTTTTCCAGCATCTGCCTCGTAGAGTGGTTCAAGACCATAAGCTTTATAATCAGAATTGCTAGTTAAAAACCCCACCTTCACAACAGACTGGATTTCTGGTCATGGGCAAGGCAGTTAACCTCATTAACAACATAAGGGCAATAGTATTGCTAGCCTATGGTGATAATGCAGGTGAACTTAACCAGCTGTTTGATCTTAGATAAGTCAGTGAAATGCCTTCAGCTTTGGTGTCCTTGGAGATAATAGTGACTCATAAGGATTAAATAAAATGGCACATGTTCACATTATGGCCAGCAAATAGAAAAAAAATCATCAAATGTTAATTATTTTATTATTATTATTAAAAGTAAGTCTGTTGTTAACATCTTAAATTCTTAACCTTAAATCTTTATTTCCTACCAGATTCTAAGCTTGATGGCCCACTACCATTCCTTTCTCCCTAAGTCTTCCAGACAAAATCCTATTCTCATACAAATTCTAGTTCATGAAGGAGGCTACAGTCCTGTTGTAGTAACTCATGTCCTTCCTGACTTGTGGCCACATTCTTTTCTTTCTAGAGGCTTTCAAAAAGTATTTTATGGTGACACTAGAAGTACGTATTTTCTTCCCCAAAACAAGTTAAAACAATACCTCTTTAGAGTCCACCTTCAGAGGAATATCATGAAAGGGGGAAATATAGTGACCAACTTCATTCTCTGGAAAGAAAACAATTAAACAATGAATGAGCCCATTCTTTGGAGCAAGTATACTTTTATCCACTTTAAAAATATTTTTAAAGTATTTTCAAAATTAACTTTAACTCCCAATTAAAGTTTAATTCAACTTTTAAAACTTGCTCCACTATAATCATTAAAAGAAATATATACCAAATAAACCATATTTAGGTTGATGAATTCATTACTTATTTCTGTGGTTTAAACATCCAAAGCAGAAAATGTTTAAAATAGACTAAAATCCCAAATATGAAAAATGTCATTTTGGAAGGTCTTCATTAAGTGAATTGGATTAAAACTGATGTCAATTCCCTAAGAGAAACTGAACAACAGAATTCCCAATTTCTGCCTAGAATTCATATGAACAAAGGTCTAAAGAAACGAAAAATTCCTTTCCACTCAAAGTGGTAACAATGTTAATATTAAGGTACATTTCTTTAAAAAATTTTAATAACAAACTTACTTATCTTCATTACATACTGCAATGTATATTTTGAATACTTTAAAAAATATGTATAATTTAAATAAAATACAATAAACCAACAGGTACTTTTGTTGAAATGTATCTGTTTCAATCATCAATCTGTAATTCTTTTCTCTGCTTTAAGTCACAAAGATAAGGTAGAATTTTGAAGAATAAAAATACAATCCTTTAGCCCAGCCCGTGTTTTTATTATCATTTGTTAATGGTTTGATTCCCAGTCAGGGCACATGCCTGAGTTGCAAGGCTGGATCCCCAGTGTGGAATGTACAGGAGGCAGCCGATCAATGATTCTCTCTCATCATTGATGTTTCTATCTCTCCCTCCCTTTCCCTTCCTCTCTGAAATGAATAAAAATTATTTTTTTTTAAATTCAATCCTTTAGTACAGTGATTTTCAACCGGTGTGACAAAGTATTTTTAAAACATGCAATACCTGACTATTTAGCCAGGCATATTCACCTCTTTTCCCTTAGGCTGTCAAATAAAAAAATGATAACAGCCAGCACAGCAATAGCCATCAGGTATGAATAAATCAAAATTATACCTATTTTTGGTCAGACCAGCAAAAAACAATTTTTTTTTGGTATACCACATAATTTTAATTAGTTTATGTTTGCTCTGAGATTAAAGAGGTTGAGAATTGTTGCTTTAGCAGATTACTTCAGTTGTTACACTAGGGAACTGCCACTGTGATGAAAATTAACAATAACTTCAACTCTAAGAGTTCCGGATGCTACACAAACCAGATAAATTCATTATTAAATTTAAGGCAGGAAATTTGACAGAGTAGCTGGGCTGCCTTTGTAATTAAGAGTGAATGATGCCCTAACCGGTTTGGCTCAGTGGATAGAACATCAGTCTGCGGACTGAAAGGTCCCAGGTTCGATTCCAGTCAAGCTCATGTACCTTGGTTGCGTACAAATCCCTGGTGGAGGTGTTTAGGAGGCAGCTGATTGATGTTTCTCTCCCATCAATGTTTCTGACTCTCTATCCCTCTCCCTTCCTCTCTGTAGAAAATCAATAAAATATATATATATATAAAAAAAAAAAAAAAAAAGAGTAAATTGATAGCTGGCTTGGCTCAGTGGATAGAACATCAGCCTGTGGGCTGAAAGGCCCCAGGTTTGATTCCGGTCAAGGTACATGCCTGGGTTGTGGGCTCAATCCCCAGGGTGTGTGTGTGTGCAGGAGGCAGCCCATCAATGATTCTCTCTCATCATTGATGTTTCTTTCTTTCTTTCTTTTTTTTTTAAATATATTTTATTGATTTTTTACAGAGAGGAAGGGAGAGAGATAGAGAGCTAGAAACATCGATGAGAGAGAAACATCAACCAGCTACCTCTTGCACACCCCCTACTGGGGATGTGCCTGCAACCAAGGTACATACCCTTGACCAGAATCGAACCTGGGACCTTTCAGTCCGCAGAACAACGCACTACCACTGAGCCAAACCGGTTTTGGCTCATCATTGATGTTTCTCTCTCTCCCTTTCCCTTCCTCTCTGAAATCAATAAAAAAATATATATATAAAAAAAACAGTAAATGATACCTCTAGCACACAGATCTGGTGATAAATTTCCCTAAAGTTCCAATGCTCCTATTAACTGGGAACAAGCCCCAATAAATGTATTAAGGTGTAGGTTGAGTGCATGTCACTCAAGGCTGAGGAAGATATCAAGCTATGATTGATAAAAGCTAAAGGTCTGTGAGAACTGCTCTTTAAATTGGGATCTAAATAGCAATCTACTTAAATACTAAGGTAATGACAATATATGTTTAAATTGTTCTCTAATTGCCATTTTGGAAGGTAAAAAGAGTGTAAATGAATGAATGGTCTAACTCAGGTAACCATATACTTAGATCATCAAATAGTATAAATAATTTATATAAATATAGATAAATGTAGTAAAAATTATTTCTAGGCAAATAAAATATGACTCTAGATCACATATAATGTTTTGGGTGAGCAATACGCCAATAAATTCACACAGGAGCAATGCATGCGGAGGCCAGGAGCCCGAGTTCTAGTTCCTTGATTGACAAAGTTTATCAATTTATTGGAAACTTAATTTTTTCCCTACATTGTCCAATTAAGCAATGTATAATTTAGTTATGTAAAAGGAAATGTACTAAATACAAAGGTGCTAAAAAGTGAGCTATGTCCATAGCGAAGACAGGGTTATGCTCCATCACAGGAGCACCCTCGGCCTGTAAGTTTAAAGAAAAAGGAGTTCTCCTGGCACATTGAGAGAGCTAAGCACTGACCTAATGCACAAAAAGGATGAGAATCTTCCATTAAACATTTGCTAGAGTCAGTGCTATTATGCTCCATTTAAAGTATTAAGAGTCTCCAAAGGTGGATTTAAAGATACGCACTATCTTCTGATCCTTAAAATGGAAGGGTAATCCATATTATACCTGTGAGCCATAGAGATGGAAATGGTCTATGCAGCAAGTACTGCTGCAATGTACATCACTCTTTAAACAGAAGCACACATTAGAGACAGACAGTCCTTCCTCAGAGGCTCAGAGTAAATTAGTGAAGCTCAGTTGTCTCTTTCGAATTGAAAACAAGTTGTTGCCAATTTACTTTTTCAAATATCTATTTTGTTGTTGTTTAAACAGAACAATGCATATGCAAGGTTAAAACAGCAGAAGTCCCCACCTCTCTCCAATTCAGGCCTATCAGAGCAACCCACTCTCACCTCTTCACTTTACTTAGGTCTAGTGGAAAATTTAGTCATCTCCCTAAATAATATAACTATGATTAGTTGTATCCATTTCAGAAATTATCTACTGATTCTAAATCTGAAAAATAAGTTTGGTTCAACCTATTCCTCTTAAACTCTATTATCTAATCTTTACACTTTATAGCTCTTTATTCTTTGTTCTACCAAACATACACAGTATTTCTTGATTCTACTAATCAGCTTTTTACCCCTCTTTCCTCATTCTTCTCACTCCTAGTTATTGTCTCCTAAACTTTTATATTTTCATATCAAGGCTGATAAAATGTTCTATATTCTAATATCAAATTTTCTATGCTTTTCCTATTTTCATACAAAGTTGATCCTTGAATAATACAAATTTGAACTGAGCAGATCCACTTATAAGCAAATATTCCCCCCTCCCCCCCCAAAATAACATAGCCTGGCCGGTATGGTTCAGGGATTGAGCATCAACCCATGCACCAGGAGGCTGCCAGTTTGATTCCCAGTCAGGGCAAGTGCCTGGGTTATGGGCTTGATCCCCAGCAAGGAGTGTGCAGGAGGCAGGGGATCAATGTTGATGTTCCTATCTCATCAACATTTCTTTCTCTCCTGGTCCCTTCCTAAAATCAAAAACATATAAAAAAAAAAATACTGTTAATGTATTTGCCTTATGATTTTCTTAATAGCTTCTTTTCTCTAGCTTACTCAATTGCAAGGATAAGATGAATACACATAACACACAAATATGTGTTTATTTATAATTTATGTTATCAGTAAGGCTCTATTAGTAAAGTTTTGGGGGAGTCAATAGTTGGTAACCCTAACTCCCATGTTGTCCAAGGGTCAACTATTTCCAAAATTTTCTAAGGATAAGAAAAAACTGAGTGCTTGTTAAACAGATCTCTGGACCCTGGTTGCATTCATACTAGTGAGTCAGGAACTTAAGGAGAAAAATCTGGATATCTGTATTTTTAGCACACCCAAATAACTCTTACGCTCAGGGAAGTTTGAGAAGCACTGTTGATGTGCTGATTTTTAGCCAAGAAGAATGTTAAAATTAAATTCCCTTTCTTGTTCGGCTTCTATTTTGCCCTGTGCTTCTAATTACCCTTCTTCCATTGTGAATCATAATCATTTCTATGAACTGTTTTAATGCCTCACAGACACCATCAAAACTGTGGAATTCTCTTTACCCATACAGCTCCCTGTAGAAACCTAACCTCCTGCTGATACCTGGACTGAATGCTTGCGTGGATTTTGCTTCTATGATCTCCAGCTAAGATTTACTGTTTTTCTGGATCCTATTCATTCATCATTTTTGGTTTGTTTACTTGTTTTACAGAAGCATATCTCTAACGTGTGTTCTGTAACAAAGGCTGCATGTGAGGTAAATGTCCCAAGTCTTCATTCAATCTTCACTCCAGGTTAATGGTTGTCTTGGGAGAGAATTCTAGGAAGAATATTATTTTCTCTCAGAATCTGGAAGGCAATACTCCAGTCATCAAGCACTCGGTGTTGCTGTTAAGTCAGATACCAGTTTAGTTCTCATTCCCTTTCAAGTGACCTGTTCTCCCTCCCTCCCTCCCCGTCACAAGACTTTTATTAGGATCTTCTTTATAATCACAGTTTTCTGAGATTTCACAATTCTGTGTCTGGAACTTAGAATACTTGGGTCCTTAAATTTTTAGATCTCTTATATCACCCCTTTGATAATTTCTTCTGCATTCTGTCTGTTTCTTCCTTCTGGAATGTGTTCCAGTCAAACCATTTTTTTTCCTTTTCTGACAT